AAACTATGGGATTGATCAAGTTCATCATTATTTCCCCACTATTTTCTTTTAATTCGTGGTGATAAATTTTATAATCTAATTTATATGTGTGTTGCCACAACATGTTGAATATTCAGAGTTCAATGACCATACTTAATCGAAAGTACACTCGCGTTATCGAGGGAGGTAAATAACCATTGGTCCTTGTGCCAATGGAAAACATCGAACCTTTGATCAAAAAGTTTTCACAAAAATGAGGGCGAAATCTCTAGATAATGTCTTATCTATAACCCAATTTTCCTTCTGAAAAATTGACATAACAAATCTCTCAACAAGAAAGATTTTTGGGCATCAAATTTTCAGAACCCGCATTGTCAATTCATCCAGGTTCATACGCCTGTCAAAATTCGATATATCCATCTTTACTCCAAAATCATAACTTCTCTAATATTCAAGGTTAAATCTTCAGGATATTAGTTCTTTATCACAGGAAAATGTCTGATGGAGGGGGTTCGCTTTCTCCTCTCCATCTGACAAGTCATTGTTGTGGTTATAGGTGATATAAACAGATTATCTCCTCTCATAGGAGGCACACCTTACTTAAATTTGCAGGATTTTTCATTGTATATCCTCTATGGTGATTCATTGCATATCCTTTATGGTGATCTCGTGAACACCTTGTTCAAAGTTTCTCCTTTGCAGCATGATGTCTTTTTCTTCCAATGAAAGTTTTGGCGGACAAGAAAAGTATGATTTAAAGTTAAGGATAGGTTTAGGGCTAGGCAGATGAAGCAATGAGATTTTTTTTGGTGGGAGTGTCCGATTATGTTCTATAAATTCTTGTTTAGGTATAGGAAAGTTATATCCCTAAAAATTTAGAATTTATTGGGCTCTTGTACCAGATAATATTATTCTAGGGCTCCTAAAAGGTATTTAGGAAGGGGGTTTAATAGGGCAGCGATTTTCGAATAGCAAGGGAATAAAACTATGGGCAGTTAGCGACGCATGGAAGAGGATGTGTTTGGCGACTGAAAGCTGCTGTAGGACAGCAGGTTGACGCAATTTTGATGACTACCTGGATGAAAAGCAATGCGCAAACAGCGAATCGGCGAGGTGCCGATGGCATGGGGAATCCAACACCTATTCCGGAGCAAGATATAGATACATTAATTACAAAAGGTGGAGGATACAATACTCTAGAGATCATCAAATAGAAACTAAAATCTCCAAACACACTAATAATAGCCAAAAATCCATCAAAACAGAAAAAGAAAACACAAAAAATAATCTAATATGTAGAAATCAACCTAAATAGAAATAACAAAATAATAAAAAGCTCAAAAAAGGAAAAGAAACAAGCAACAATTGAGAACGCGATGTATTCTGTGCAAAAATTGCAGCTCCCAAAATCCCGAAATGCTGCAATAGCATTTCGATCCCGTGGAATCTTATTTATTGAGATTCAATCAGAATTTGCCATTATTGCTCCGTCGGATCAATTATGTGACCTGAATCCCACAATCACGGTATCGTGTGATTGCAATACTACATGACACGTATTCATGGTGAGCTCCTGCATCACTTCCTATTCCAAGAGAAAGCATGCCATCCAAAAAATATAAAATAGCATAGTGTTAATCCCAGTCAATGTATTGTACTTCAAAGACAATTGTGATGGCATAGTTTCAGAGTACCTCATCCTTTACTTCTAGTGAGAATTTATCTGCTTGAGACTGCTCAACCATTAACCTCGAGGTTAAAGATCCAAGGAGTATTAGTATACACTTCTCCATTAGTCATATCATCGAATCTATTATATTAGTCAATATTGATTAGATTTCATCAACAAGCAACCTGACCTTAGAAATCACAACTAAACAAAGGAATGTTAAGTTGATTCTAAAGGATTTCAAGTCACTCAAAGAAGATTTGACCACTAGATGCCCATATAAAGATTCAATCTGTCTCATTTCCCAGAGTTGTCAAATCCCTATGAAGGATTAGGAGAAAACACAGGCACTACCCATAGAGAAATTCCGTGAATACTAATAAAGAAGCTCAGAACTTAACATATGATAAACAGTGTCCTCAATAAAAGTCCTTAAAAGGACTTCACTAAATGGTGGAATGATGTTCCAATTTTTTTGGCTGACCCAATTCAGAGATGACTCAACAACAACAACAAAACCTTTAACCCACTAAATGGGGTCCAATTCAGAGATGACTATTCTTCTCAAATTTAATTTTGCCGATATGATCAACAAAAGTTCAAGTTTTCACCATTGAAATATCATGGGATCATGATCTATGGCACCAAATATTCATACATTCAATCAAAGATCTTGCCAGCAGCATCCAACATCCACCGAAGGCTTCCAAGGTCCAAGAAAGATATCCAATCCATGGGTAGCTTCATTCAAATATATTTTGATCATGGGAGGGTGTAATAATCATTATTGGTAATTGGTAACTACGATTATTTTAAGTGAGAATTGAAAAGTCTTTTGCACAACAAATAGCCCATTAAATAGTTATTCAGATGGATTATTTAAGTTTGAAAAGCACCTAAGATATTCATAGGAGTCTTATCAGCATCCTCAGTTCACAAGAACTAATACCCGGCATGACTTGGATGGAAAATAAGAAGATGAAACAAGGCTTAAGAGCTAAATGCATTCGTTAATCACTTATCATGGGTCTCTCAAATCAAGGGTTTCGCTTCTAGGTGATGGCCATGATAAAATGATAATTGAAACTTGAAGGATCCTTAATAAGATCTGCCATACGAAGTTCAAGATTTGAGCCACTAAATTACAAAGACCAAAAACAATAATTTTAGGAAATAAAAAGTGCCAATGCTCTCCTCTCAAAACAAGTAAATGATTGCTCAATGCTCCGAATTGACACCATTCAACCTTTCACATAAGACTTTTCTAGAGAGACAATCAAAGTCAGAACTCACAAAGAAGCTTATATCATATTAATATAGTCAAAACAATCACAACAAAATAATTGGGCTAATAAAAATGTGAAAATAAATTTCAGGTAAGACAAATCATGGCTAAAATGTGTCATTGGACCACTTAACAAAAAAAGATCAAAAAATTGAAAAGTTATGCCTAGAATGTGTTGTTGAGCCAGTTAAATAGTCAAATTCAAATCACAATTTATTCTCTAATGGCTTTATTTATAAGTTTAAGACATATTCGGAGAATCCGATAGGAGCACAAAGCATCCTATTAGCAAAGATCTATCACAGCATATTTTTCACCCTTAGGCAGGCAATTGAAAATGAGAGTGCCAATGGATATAAACAATTAGGATGCCAAGCAAAACTTTTATGCTCCTAACCATGTAGATTGGATGAAGTTGAATGATCAGAATGTTGGAACTACAAAATTTTAACATAAACACAAATCCTTATCAAATGTGTCAAACAGAAATATTCCTCTGATTTGTTAGGACACATTACCAACACACAAATTAATGTTTAATATGTTGTTTTGACAAAACTAGATAGGCGATAGTTAGGGCACACCCCAACATGACCAAGTAACAAGAAAAAGTGAATTTTTTATGGGTAAGCTTACCAAATCCTATCTTTTTTTTATATTGATAGATTCTATCAAAAAGTAAATTGATGCTAGTGGTGATAATGACTGCAATGTCAAGTGTGTAGGTCAATTAGCAGTACAGCAGTGTTTTTTATTTTTTTATTGCATTTTGAAGGTTATATACTCATTATTTTGACATTTGATGTGGACAATATCATGTCTAAGAATTAATGATAATATTGGTCGGTTGTTGATAATTAAGTAAACTTTACAACAACAACAACAACAACAAAGCCTTAATCCCACTACGTGGGGTCGGCTACATGAATCCTTTTTCTCCATTGCGTCCTAATTAGTGTCTAAATATAAAATTAATTTCATAGCATATTAGACTATAATTGTAAGTAAAGTATAATTTTTATTCTTTCCATAAGAATACAGATAATTGATATTTTGATTTGCACGTTCCATATCATTAATTTGTTAAAAAACAGTCAATAGGATGTGTTTTTGTCTCGTTCCAATACTTGTGCATCTTAGCTCCCGACAAAACCAAAGGATCATTTCACTATTTTTTATACCGGTATAGATATTTATATAAATGCAAGTGTGAAATTTACATATCCAGGAGAAAAGCTAGTTGATGACCATTAGGTGCATCTGATTTGTGCATGTGAGCTTATGTGTTTCTTTCAATTACTATATAAAAAAAGGAATAATTGATTACTCCAATTTTTTTCACAGCTATGTTTCAAACAACTGATTACTCCAAATGTTTATAAAATTATGTACCCATAAACATTCTAAATACTTGAACAAAGAATCTATAATAGCATATAAATCCAGAGAGCTCACTAAGCGGCCGTTAGGTTTGCTGGAAAAAAAAAATTGTAGCATACAAAGAATGCGGCGACATTGAAATGTAGCATAATTGGAATATTTTAGAATGTTTGTTTTGGTGTAGAAAGAATGAAGGAGTTTTTATTTGAGTTTCGTTTGAAAAAAAATAAAATCAATGTAATACATGGTCAATGGCCATGGCAGAAGGCTGGCAGTAGCTAGGGCTGGGGTCTCCAACCGATGGTGTCTACCAGCAGTGAATGGCAATTGTAGGCTATGGTAAGCAGGGGCGGTCAGCACCGAGAGATGTTGGCAGCAAGGTGGCACCCAATGAGCATGGCAGAGGGAGGCACCCAATGGAGCATGGTAGAGAGCGGGAAGGGCGGGAAGGGCTGCAATTTACAGTGTAACTGAAAATCATCCAAATCTAATCAATTCTAAATACACTAGTTTTGAACTGCATCGTGCATTCCAAATTCATAAAAATTTTACAATGCATTTCTGTTTCATCCAACCAAACGCAAAAAATTTTGAAAACCCTATATTTTGTTTATTTTGCACTAAAATACACCAAATCAAAAATGAAAAGAAAAATTATTAAAAAACCATGAAAATATATAGACTTACTTCCCAATTCACAAGTAAATTCAGGTCGAGCATCCACATTGCCGGAAACCATATCTCCATCCTAGTGTGAGAAACAAGAAAAAAAATGCTATAAGGTTTAACAATTTTCTGTATTTATCAGGCTGACTTGCAGGAAAAAAAACTTGCTTTCAAATGGTGTTCTAGGTGGTGAATTAATATTCCAAAAATGTGCTCATCAAGCATTCTTATGTTTCATGAGCATAAAGATTAAGCCCAGGAAAAATATTAATTGTAAAACTACTGAAAACAACTTCTGAAATTCTGTCACACATAAAGTGATAAAACTCAAATTACTTGATGTTGTCGAATACTTATAATTTGACAGCCAATTGAACAAGAAACATGCTCAATTTGATGCTAATTACTAGAAACGAACCTCTATGATTCTCAAAGTTAAACTGTGTTTAATATACATTAAAAAGGAAGAGTTAACCAAAGTTCACTCTAGTAGCTGAGAGAGTTGTTAAATATATAGTATCGTTAAGAATTTAAAATGAACTAAGGATTCCAGAGAAATAAACAAAAAGATTGCCAAAATGGTGATAACACGAATTGAATAAAATGTAGTGACTGTGGGCGTGTGCCGGTGGTAGAGGTGGTGGTTGTTGGTGTGTGACTGTGGGCGTGTGCGGTGGGAGAAGTGGTGGTTGTTGGTGTGTGACGGTGGGTGTGGGTTGGTAGTGGAGGTGGTGGCTGTGGGCGTGTGACTGTGAGTGTGTGTTGCAGGGGGAGAATGTGTGTTGGTGTGGCTGGTGGTGGAGGTAGAGCTGTGGGGGTGTGTTGGTCGTGTGTTGTGTGGGGCTTGGTTGTTTTATTTGAGGATTTCTTTTGTTGTGTGTCAGTTTTTTTTTTTCAATTTGTTTCTCTTTGTGTTTTCTTGTTTTGTTTTTTATTTTTTTAGTTTAGAAGTTTGTTTTTCTTGGGGCTTTCATTTTTATACTGCTTTTGTTTTACTAGCTTTACAGTTTCTTTCTTGATCCATTTATTTGTTTAGCAAGCAATGGTTAAGACTAAAGAAGCGGGTTCATCAGCCTTGTGGGATAGGTAAGTCACAATCATATTTTGCAAACCTCTATCTTAAGGAGGTCGAGCTTGGAAATAGACTCACCACCTACTTTAATAAAAAAGAGTAGCAAAATATTACGAAAAAGTACAAGGAAATAACACAAAGGGACTACGATAGATTACAATTTAAGAACAAGTAGGATCAGTTGAAAAGGACTGGAAGTTATGGAAGGAACTAAAATGGGGATTCACGGGCTTGGGTTGAGATTCAATCAAACGGACTATTGATGCCTCAGAGAATTGGTGGACTGAGAAATTTGAGGTAATAACCAAAGCACTAAATACTTGTTTTTCCATTCTTTATTCCTCCAATCTGTTTTAAGTAATAAACTTTCCCACATATTACAGGCAGTGTCAGCCGCCAAGAAATTAAAATTAAGTAGCATGGAGTCGGACCTGAAGAAATTGGATTAGGGGTGTAAACGAATCGAACACTAACAAACAGAGCTCGTGTTCGTGTTTGGGTCGCTTGAAATTAAGTGTCTGAAATGGGCTTGTGTTCGTGTTTGGGTCATTTGAAATTAAGTGTGTCTAAAATGGGCTCATGTTCGAAATTGTTCGTGAAGTTACTGTTCGTGTTCGGTTTGATTTATTTGAAATAAATTTCAAAAGTTTGAAATGTTTAAAATGTTCAAATTGTTCAAACTGTTTGAATTATTTGAAATCTTATAAATTCATTTGTATTGTTCGAATTGTTTGAATTGTTCGAAATCTTTTAAAAGCTTAAACCTGTATGAAATTAATACATAAACATGTATGAATTACATCACAAATGCAGAATAGTCGAAGCACAGCTCACAATAAAACCATAATATCATATCTCATCCATAAAAAATTCAGATCTAAAGGCAATATGCGAGATTTTACTCCCAAAAACTTCAAAAACAAGGTTTCACTCAAAAAACTAAATAAACCTAAAAGAAATATAAGAAAAATTAAGCTAAGAGGTGAACCAAAAGATAAATATGAAATATTAAAGCAAAGATACTGAAAGATGACACCTCGGTAGCCTTACAAGAAAACAAGCAAAGATATCGAGCAACCAAGCATGGATATCGAGCAACCAAGCAAGAATACCGAGCAGTCGATCCAATGCCGAGTCGCCGACACGTCGAGAACAAATAAACTTTATCAAAGACAAACATAAGTAGAGATTAGAGAATGACACAAACGACAAGCCCTAACTTCTCATGGCCGAAAGCTTTGCACAATTTTCAGAGGACAAGGAAAAGAATCAGAAGAAGGGTAGGCCGCCAAAACCTAAAGCTTTCGAGAAGAGAAGGGGAGGCAAGTTGGGGTAAAGTGGCTTAGGGAAGGGAAGACGCTAAAAATTCTACATTTAATGATCTTTGTAATAGATTAGATACTAAGAAGGGTGAAAAATATATGCATAAACTAGCCAACATAAACTAGCCAAACAAATAAACTAGCCAAACAAAGAGAAAAGAAAAGTAAAGATTTAACTCAAGTAAAGTGTATAAAAGATAAAAATCAAGAAGCATTTTTCATAGAAAATGATATTCAACCTAGGTGGGTAAGTTTTTTTGATAAACTTTTTAATGAAGTTTCTGAAATTATGATCGACCTTTGTGATTTTAATATCGTTAATAATAATAAAACATTTTATTTTTACTGTCGCATTAGTAAAAAAGAAGTTGTGGAGATTTTAAAGAAAATCAAGGATGGAAAGTCTGTAAGACCTAATGATATCACAATTAAAGTGTGGAAATATTTAGGAGATTTGGGATTTTCTTGGCTTACTAAACTCTTTAATATTATTTTAAAAACTAAAAAGATGTCTAAGAAGTGGAGGAAGAGTATTTGATCCCCATTTTTAAGAATAAAGGGGATGCACAAGAGTATGCAAATTATAGATGAATTAAGTTGATGTGTCATACTTTAAAATTATGGGAGAGGGTAATTGAATATAGGTTAAGACGTTTTACAAAGATTTCTCATAATCAATTTGGATTTATGTCGGGCAAGTCTACTATGGAAGCTATACATTTATTGAGAGGTCTGATGGAGAAGTTCAGAGATAATAAGGAAAATCTACATTTGATTTTTATTGATTTAGAAAAAGCTTACGATAAGGTTCCAAGAGATATCCTTTGGAGAGTTCTTGAAAAGAAAGGTGTTGATATGACTTCTATTCAAGTCATTATAGATATGTATACAAGAGCTGTTACTTGTGTTCGAACTGAAGGAGGATTGACCAAATATTTTCCTATTTATGTTGGATTAAATCAAGAATTGGCTTTAAGCCCATATCTTTTTGCTTTATTTATGGATGGTCTTACTGGACAATTACAAAAGAATGTACCTTGATGTATGCTTTTTGCTGATGATATCCTTCTCGTGGATAAGACGAGAGAAAAAACCCAAGAAAAACTTGAATTATGGAGATCTACATTGGAGTCTAAAGGCCTTCATTTGAGTAGAACTAAAATTGAATACATGGAATGTAATTTTAGTAGTAATAGCTCTAGTGACAGAAGTGTAACTTTGGGTGATCACATTATTAAAAGGTGTGAACCATTTAGATATATTGGGTTTGTTGTTCAAAGCGATGGTGATATAAGTGAGAATGTTAATTGTAGAATTCAAGTCGGTTGGTTGAAGTGGAGTAATGCTTCGAGCCTTTTGTGTGATAGAAAAGTACCGCTTAAACTGAAATGAAAATCTTATAAGACGGTGGTGAGTCCTGCAATGCTCTATGGCGTTGAATGTTTCTTTAAAAGAGAAGCATAATACTAAGTTAAGTGTTGCCGAGATGAGAATGATTAGGTGGATGAGTGGCTTTACACTTAGAGACAAAATGCGAAATGAATATATCCGTGATAGGGTTGGTGTAGCTCCTGTGACAAATAAAATTAGAGAAAGTTGTCATAGATGGCTTGGTCACAGTAAATGTCGACCATCTGATGATCCGATTAGGAGAGTAGATGCTTTAGATTCAACTTTTGTTAAGAAAGGCATTGTTAAGAATCAAGAAAGGCAGAGGTAGACCTAGGAAGGCTTAGGCTTATTGTATAAAGCATGATCTTAACTTTTTAGAACTAAATGAAAAAATGACACTAAATAAAATGCAACAGAGAAAAAGTATTCATGTAGCCGACCCCACGTAGTGGGATTAAGGCTTTCTTTTTGTTGTTGTTGTTTATATATATATAGTATATTAATATATTATATTATTTATGTAACTTATATTATAAAAATATATAATATTTATACAACTAATATTATTTATAGAATTTAATTTTTTAAAATATTATAAATTTTTAGAATATAAAATTATTTTTAAAATATGATAACTTTTTATGTATAATATTTTAAACTATTTTATTTTTCGAACAATAACTATTCGAACACGATCCAACACATGATTGTTCGTGTTTGGTTTGTTCATAAACTGAATGAAAAAAATTATTCGTGTTCGTCTCATTTGCTTATCGAACGAATCGAACACGAATTCCGTGGCGAGCCGAACACGAAGTGTTCGCAAACATCGAGCTTTTTTGACAACCCAAACCGTATGTTTAGTGGGGTTGTTGTGACGGGCACGCATGCGTTCACCCTAAGTGAGCATGGGTTTACAAGCATACTAGAGGGCTTGGAGACAAGCAAGTAAGTGGGTCAAGTGAAGGCCCCACCGAAAACCCGAAGAAGCTGGAGTCAACATGACGGTCAAAGTGAAATACGGTAGAGAAAAGAAAAAAAAGTTATTTTCATCAGAAACACAATAACAAAACTGGTGGAAGCGTGCACAATTCAGGCTAGTACTTCAAAGGACGCCTCTATAGACACTTTCTTCGAGTTTTGTAAACATATCCTGAAGTTAGTTTGGATAACACGTTTTAATTGAACATCTTGAAGTTGCTAGAGGACCCGACCCTCAAACAGCTATTTATGTAAATGCCCCTTGAACTTCGGGTCAACTAATTGTTTTTTTTATGGACAATTGATTTTGTGGAA